AAAAAAAAAAAAAAAAAAAACTCTCAGCAAGTGACTGTTTACATACTGTATGTTACTTTAATTAGAAAGAGAAAAACTGTCAAATCGCATATATCTTTGCTTTTCATAAAGGAAGAATATTTATGTTAGTTGTATTCACTGAATAAAATGTACATATTTCTATGTATGAATAACCATGTAAATAATGACAAAATGTTTTGTATTATTACCTTTTGTTAGTATAATTGATGGTTATTGTTTATTTTTAATGAAATAAAAATTAGTTAGTAGAAAAAAAGGTGTTTGTTTTCTATTTGAATATTTCTATTAACTGAACTATCGAAAACATTGATTGGTTGATTAATGAAAAGGATAAGAATAAATTGCACGTTCGTGAGAAATTCGTGTCATTTTTAATTGATTTACCGAATAAATAAGAATGGATGACAGTAAGGACTCAATCGATTGCTGTGTAAGTGATAGTATTTGCATCCCCTTTGCAAAAGAATCGGATCGCATTTTGAGCTTTTTAGATTGGCCCGGCAAATTTCTCATCAACCCCTTACCGTTGGCTCTTTCGGGATTCTATCGCGATTTACATGCTCCTAAAAACGATGATACCGTACGTTGTTTCTACTGTCATGTGCGTTAAAAAAATTGGAATCCCTTGAATGATGCTTCGGACAGAGAACATAGAAAGCACTCACCTTATTGTAGCATGGCTACTCCTGAAACAAGAGAAAATAATCGGTACAACGTTCCCCTAACTCCCAAGACTCGCTGGGAATTTGTTAATTTGTTTGTTGCACGTGATCCGAAACCCCCATGCACTGCAAACACAGTGCAAACTTTACTCGATTTAGGTTTAGATGAACCAGACCATGCACCCTGGCCTCCTGTCCCCTAAACCGTGGAGTTTATTTTAAAATAGGACACTTGGACAACAAAGATTCATTCATCATACAGTACGAGGAGAAAATAGATGTCGAACAATGAAAAAGAAAAGGACTGAAAGTATTGAGACATATTTAAAATATATATATTACAATCCTTCACACCCTCGAGCTTTGGTGGAGTGTTGAAACTTTACAAGGCTGCTCGCAAAGACGGAAAAAAGTCAGTGTCAAACAAATTAAAGATTTTTTAGCTGAGCAAGATACGTACACCCTGCATGTGCCAAGAAGAATACGATTTAAAACAAATCGAGTAGTTACGTCTGCAGCATTTGAGCAATTTCAAATTGATTTAGTGGATCTTACTAAATTAGCAAAATACAATAAAAACAATAATTTTATTTTGACTGCAATCGATGTGTTTTCAAAATTTGCATGGGCTATTCCTATAAAAACTAAAAGCGCTCACAATGTTCTGGAAGCTTTCAAGCAAATTCTACAAAGTATTAAATTTTATAAATCTCGCCTTCACGTTGTTCAAGCGGACGCAGGCACCGAATTTCGAAATCGAGCTTTCTTATCTTATTTAAAAGAACGACACATTGGCTTTTTCACAACCAAGAGTGAAAAAAAAAGCTCTGTAATAGAGAGGTTCAATCGCACTCTTAAGTCACATTTGTTTAAATATTTTAGTCATAATAACACGCTTACTTATGTGAATGTACTCCCAGATCTACTAAAAGGATATAATTTAACCAAACATAGGAGTATTGGCATGTCACCTGCAGAGGCTATTCTAGACAAAAATTCCGTGAAGGTGTGGAAAAAATTATACGGCAAAACATCACAGATGAAAACAAAATTCAAATTTAAAGTAGGAGATACTGTAAGATTAAGCAAAATACGTTCTCCTTTTGCAAAAGGTTACGAACAAGGGTATACTCAAGAATTGTTCACCATATTTGCCCGTCTAGGAAGGAGTCCCCCCGTATATAAAGTTAAAGATTTAAATGATGAGATAATAGAAGGAGTTGTTTATGAGCCAGAGATGGTTCGTGTGATAAAGAAAGACAACGTGTATAGGGTTGAAAAAATTATAAAATCCAGAGGCATGGGTAAACCGTGAGAACATTTTGTTAAATGGTTAAATTATCCAGAAAAATAACACTTGGGTCCGGGCAACGGATTTTAAAACAATATAAAAAGGATTTGTAATCAGATTTGTAACGAATTGTAATCAGTGGGAAACAAGTGATATAATTATCATATTGTTAATTACAATCATAATGATTATTTTAATTATCTTATTAGCATTTCTGATAAGATCTGCTAAACTTAATTCAAGAGTAGAGCACAGTAATCAAATATATAATACAAGCAGTGCAAATACTTATTTGGAACCTAGAGTCTTTGAAATGAATGAAATCATATACGATTCTGTGGCTGAGCTTTAAGTGTCACTGATTAATTTGTATACATCGTTTTGATTTTTTCAGATGGTTTAGCTAGCACCGTAGCAGCTTTGACCAGTCTAGGGCTACTTGTAGTAATGTACAAAATAAAAACAATACTGAGCAATAGATATCATAGACCTCGTAACTTGGACATGTCCACATTAGAATTGCCTACATTAGAGGACTTACAGGACGCTTCTGGCATACTACACAACACTAACGACGTGGAGACTTATTTGTGAAGTGTATTATGCTTACATAGAGACAGTGCAACTCATAATCATTATTTTAGAAAATGTTCTTGTTATTTATTTATTTATTTATTTATTTATTTATTTATTTATTTATTTATTTTTTTTGTAAATTAATTCCTGGCATATCAACTGTTGTGTTGTGATTTCTCAACTGGAGCATTTGATATGGGTAATTGATTTTGATCCAATGTGGGGTGAGGTGGGGGGTGGAGAGGGCAGTAACCCTCACATCTGACCAGATTAATATCAATCGTCAGGTTAACGTTCACAAGCTATTAGACAGCCTCCAGTGTGAGCCCACTAGGGAGGTTGATTACCCCTTGCCTGACTTATCGATAGACGGGAGCGAATTTGATCCACTCGTTAAACAAGCACCCCCCAGGGAGGAAGAAAATAGTATTTCTTTCTCAAACGAACTTTGGGAATATCTTTTTCCCGAAGAAATAATGTGGGGTGGGGGTGGGGATGGAGCAAATAACAACCCGCACGGTACAGATGATCAAAACACCAAGTTAGATCCGAGAGATTATTATTCATTGAAAAGCATTAATGAACGAAAAATGAAAAATTTCAACACTGCATGCGTAGATTATAATCTACATTTTCAAAATCTTGATAACGTTTCGATAACCGAAGTTATCCCATTGATCCATACAATTTTCGAAAGTATTTTCTCAGAAATGATACGAGGTATGGAGCCTCAGGATCTGATTCGTGTTGTCATGGAGAGCGACGTGCTTGATCATCCAATTTCATTTCATTGCAATCAGTACTTTCATGTTATTATTTTTGCTGTAAAAACCATAAAGGGATGCATAGCTGTCCATAATGTAAAAACGTAAAAAGATAGTCAATGTCCAAAACGAAAAAAAAGTGCATTTTCACTACACGTTGTAAATGTAAACCTCATGTAATAGCTTAAGGAGGTTAATGTGTTCCATGCAACCCCTCAATGATCACACCTAAGAGACAGGTGAGTTTGAGGAATCGAATCAAGCATAAGTGAGTCAGACAAGGAAAAAAAAAGGGCGACAGACGACCTTTCATTTTTTTTATTTCCGAGTGCAACCAGAGACCTGGCGTGGCTCACGTCACTAACTCTGGACACAAAGAGTGCGTTCTCAGTCAGCAGTCACGGAAATATATGACTCCCTCCCAGAAGACAAGAACACCCCATTTTCATATCTCTTGAGTGACCAAGAGAGTTCTTATATAGGCAGTTAATACTGTATTTTTTATTGTTCCTCTTGACTCTGTTTTGAGGTATCAAATGACAAGACTTTAACAACAAGACACTAGCGTGTGGCTACCTCAAAGGAGAAGATTAGAAGACCCAGTATCATATCTTTTAAATGACCAAGAGGGGACTGAAAGAGTCAATGCTGTATTAGGAAATATTCTGAGGTATCAAATAACCAGACTCAAACAAGAAGACATAAGAGGGAAGGGAGAATTTTTTCACTGTTACAGCAATAAAAAGAAACAGACAAGTCCTTGTGACGTTGTTCCATGACAGGAACAAAGTGAGATTTTTGGCCCCTTTTGCACTATCAGGTGCTGTCAATATAACTGTAAGAGGGGAGCAGATTTTGTGGTTCAGTACGACAATGTAGAAAAGGGCAATAGAGGGCAAAAGGCTAGAAACCCACTGTTCTCATCAAAACAAAATCATCCTTTTGTTTAATGAAATAAAATATGCAACAAAAACAGTACGTATGCATTAACGCAACAACAACAAAAATGACGTTCATTTTTGTAGTTTCGTACAGTAGCCTTTCAGTATGCTATCTACACCCATGTGTAAAGTGGCAATCATATTAAACAAATAAATCCATCTTTCAGGTACAAACAATGACTCCTATCTAGGTCACACACACACACACACACACACACATTGCCCTGGCTGACGGTGGTCAGAAGGTTGACAGCTGATGTCTGTGGTGAGAACAGCTTAAGACAGCTGCAGATCCAGCAGAGGGCACATCTCAGGGGAAGATGGAGGCCATCTTCTTGGTCTTCCAGAATTTTAAGTTTACATTGATGAGCATCTAATTTCATCAGTAGAAGACGGTCAAAAATGGAGGACGGATCAACACAGATAATTAAGAAGATTATCAGGAAATATCTCTAGATCTGCACCTGCATTTGAAATGTGTCCTCTCCTTCAGCTCTGCAGATCCTCTGTTCTTACCATAGTAAAATAAGCAATTTGAAACAAAAAACAAATTTTACATCCCTGTGGATGTATTACTGCTCTTATCTGCTGGTTCACAATAGTCCTGTGAATTTCTTTTATCCCCACAGCCCCCCTCCCCTTCCACTTAAGAGGCTGCTGTCCAAGTTATGCCTTTCTAAGAAGAACATACCTATCTCCAATGTAACCACACCTTTCACCCATATGACTAACAAATTATGAGACGCAGCAGGTTCTTGATTTTTTGGTTGCTGTGTTGACCACTTCTACTGCTGTTGCTGCGGACTTGAAGTGCACCTTCTTCTCTGTGTTGTTCTCTGGTTCGGCCATTACTGGGATCTCCTTCATTATCTGGGGACAGGAATTATACAACAATTAAGATATGTGAAGACATAAGCACTTTCACGTGGGGGAATATGTGGACCCTTTCATGTTAGTCAAGTTTAAGTTTTGTGTCAGTGTAAGTATGGGCACTTTGGTGTAATGGAAAAATATGGGTGCTTTTTTAGGAAATTTCTGGACAATTTTGAGTTAAGGAAGATATGGGCACTTTCATGACAGAAAAAAATCAATATATGGGCACTTTCTTGAAAGGGACGTTACAATTCATGTTAGAAGAGGTATAAACACTTTCATGTTAGAACAGATATGGCCACTTCCATGTTAAAGTATATATGAGCACTTTGGGACAATACAGGCACTTTCATCTTACTGAGAAGAAAATGCATTGGACTAGAACCAATTCATATTGATAGACCTTATCATTTGGGCTGATCAAATAACAGATATGTATCAAAAACAGATGTACTATTCCTTAAAGTCTGTGGATATATAATCAAGCAATTCTTCATATAAAGAAAGGTTAATACAGCGTGTTGTTGCTTACCATTTCCTGTGGTATTTTGTCATGCACTGTATTCTTCAGAGTGTCCACATTTTCCATATCTAACTGAGTGATGTTGGCAATAACTGGATGTGTCTGACCAGTACTACAAATAATAAAGAAGTAAAGAATATAGCTAAATTAAAAAAATTAGTACAGCCTTTTTGGATTTATTAATAAGCACGACCCACAGGAATCTAAAAGAATACATAATAATAATACATAATAATAATAATAAATTCAAAATTTTATAAAGAGCAATACATCTCCCAACAAATCAATATCAATAGATTTTAATCTATTTCTTTATGCTCTGTGAATGGCTGAGGCACAAGAGATCTGGTAAGACTTTTCTACCCACTCCAGATCTGAGACCCTTTTTACATTACAGTACACTTAAGGTAATGATCTAATGATATTTCTGTTTGACAGATATTTCTTATTTTTTTAATTGCAACAGTTGGTAAAATTGCATCCTTGTTATGATCTAAAAATTGATGGGTATCCATTTAAGTTTTATTACTGTGATGATTTGAGTTTTGGATTCAATTTCTTTAGCACTATATGGTAAATTTAATTGTTTTTGCATATATTTTCAGTTTTCTTAAGAGATGCAGTGCATTCATAGTCCATATCTCCTGCTCATGGTCTTCAGTACATATGTTAGCCATAGTATAAAAAAACTGATAGGTACCCATGCAAATTGTTTTTAAATAAAACGCCATTTGTATTGCTAGATTGCCAGCACTAGCTGCTGATGCAATGTGCAACAAAAAGACATTAATGCATGGTGTTGTTGCGCAGTGTAGCATAAGGAGACTACCTTAAGTGATACAATCAGTACAGGTACAGATCTGTGAAAGGTCCAAACATAATTATGCTATTGTGGGATTAACTCCCTTAAACAAGAACTTCACAAATCTGCTTCCTGCTGTTAAGTTTATTGGCAATGTAAAACCTGCAGACTAAGAGCGCGTTCACAACAGCAAACTTACAGATATGCAGATCTCATATGGCTGACCCACTTGATTGCTTGTTGCATAATCCCTGCAGGGAATCTATTCAGTGTCTAATGGAGAATCAAGCGGCAAGCTTTTTAGTGAGTCATATTTGATCTGCACATCTGTTGGTCCTCTGTTGTGAATGTAACACACAGCCAGGGTATTTCATAAACTGTAAATCTCTCAATGTGAACCCATACAACTACATCGCTAAAGTATACAACATGATGTGTAAAGTTTGTAAATATTGAATAATTTACCTCTTTTGTGACAGTATGTCAACAATGTCATTACAGGCCAGGGAAAGAGCCAGCATTTCTTCGTCTGCGACTCTCTTCAGTGGGTTCTTGCCTTTCACGTATCTCTCCACCGTCTGAAGGTCAAGGCCAAAGTACGGAACAGAGGCATCCCAATCAATCATACCATAGTCATTCCTTTTCATTTTCTTTTCAAGCTGGTTTCGCCAAAGTAAATCGTACAGCGCAAGCTCACACGGCACAACATGAAGATAGCATGGCTTCCTGGGTAATGGTAAAATATGGATCGGATATAGAATATGAGCTTCTTTGGCTGCTCTTTGACGGAACAAAGCAAGCTGGAGTTCTTCCACTTGGATGCTGGATTCGAGATAAGAAGGTGATAAAAAGGTTACGACGACTTTGGCAGAGTCAATGGCTGTCAGTTCCGCACTTGCACTGCCTTCAGCTTTTGATTGGCTCTTTTTACTGACCTTGACCCAAGGCGCCTTCAGGTGCAGCATCTTTTTCAATGCTTGCCCATATTGCTCCTCAGATTCAGTATAACTGAGCGCCACATCTATCCCCACAGCTGCTGCTTCCTCAGGCGATGTTTTTTCTGCCTTAGGTGGGTCATTTTCTTTGGAATCTGACTGTGGTTGCTCACTTTTCTCATTATATTTAGCCTTTGTTTGATTGTTATAAAGTTCTAGTCTTTCCTTGAAGTAGTGCAGTCTGCGCGTCTCAAGTATCTTTGAAACATTCAGTGGTACCTGCAACAACACAAAAATGCTAAATCTAAATGTAATGTTAAACATTTCATCTGTCATTAAATCACTTACTTATATGATGATGCCACCTCAAAGTTCTAGTTCATGTGGATTACCTGTAAAATGTTGAATGGAAGACACCAACAATAAAATTTTTCCTACAACCAAATGTTCAGTTAAAAAGTTAAAGGCCCCCAAAATTGGAACAGCTGGCAAATAAATCCTATGTATATTACACTTTTTTTCTAAGTCACTGTTCATCAAACGACAGCACCAACATACACTAAATATAGGAATAGTGAAGAAATATCTTAAGGTGTTCTTAATTATTCTGTTTGAAATATAAGAATTAAATAAAGAACATAAATTAAATAAATAAATAAATAAAGAAAGAAAGAAAGAAAGAAAGAAATTACCCACCGGCACTTTGTTGAAGACCAGATCATTCATCTCCTCTGTCTTCAGCCATGACACAACTGATTTGCATATTGCTATGGCAACAGATTGGAAGGCGTCGCCCATAGCATCTATTGCCTTNGGGGTGGGGGGGGGGGGTGGGGGTGGTGGTGGGGGGGGGTGGGGAGGGGTGTGGGGGGGGGGGGGGGGGGGGGGGGGCGGAGGAGTTATACAGGCACACCCACCTCTCCCATATGTTTTAACAAGGCCAGGTTGTACTCTTCTGTGCATACAGCTGAGGTGAGGTAGGTAGGAGAGAACAGAGCAATGACACACTTTGACCCATCCACTGAGTGATACAACATCTGCTGCCATGATGTGCCTGGAAGAAATAATAATGATAATGTATTTTTAATTAATATTTGTTAAACTCAGTTTAAACCATAAGTAATAACAAAATTGCTTTAATAATTAATAAAATGGGGCATAAAGAAATCGTGAATGAATTAGGCAAATATTATTGCTAACTTATCACCTATTTTATTGTTCAATTAGCTAAAAATTTTAGTAAGTTTCAAGAAAAAGAAAGCTCCAGAAGCGTTGCATCTTACACACATGTGCATTCCGCATGAACAATTGTTACACTATGCTTGAGTTTTTAAGTCACAATATCTGACAAAGTAAAATGTGATAGAGTAAAGTTTTTGGGTGTAAGATGAGTCACTGTGGAGGTGCTTTCCTCAAATACTTTTATAGAAACAATATCTTGATGTATGTTTATATTTGAGTGCATGGTAAGTCTGCCTCACAGTATTTCTCACTTGCTAAAAGAAATGGCATGCATGACAAAATTATGTTTACACTTCACTTGTATTATATAGTCTTCTGAAAATTTCAATAAAATAACTATGACTTTTTGAGCTAGAACTGAACAATTCTTGTCTCTCTCTCGCTCTTGTCTGAGAACTACGACTTTCTGAAGTGGAAGTGACAGTTGTTGTGTCCCCCTTTTCCTCCCGACAATGCTCTTAGTTAAAAAGACACATACACCACTTGGCAACTAGCTGTAGGTAAAATCTACTTGTGATTCATGTACTATGTATGTTCCATAAACCCTGCCAACTCAAGTGATTCTATTTCTGAATAATACATATATAACATTATGAACCCAAATAACAACATTCATAACATACCGGCTTTTAGTTCGTTCCTGTCATAAAATATTCTCAGATGAGGATTCAGTCTTGTGAGGGTGTTCAAGAAAAAGTTGGCTTTGTCTGTGTTCTTGTGGGAATAGGAGATAAAAACATCGTAATCTGAAATTGTGTAAAAAAATTTTCTAGATATTCCATTTTTAAGCAAATGTAAAACACAAAACAATGAAAAACAGTGTAACCTAAAACACTTGCTATGCCCAGTTAAGTTATCATGCTAATAAAACAGTTTATTGTGTCTGTAAACAGTTATACTATTCTTAAGATTAGAGGAGTTATTCTGTGCTTTTTAAGAAATTCAGTCCTGTTGACGGTTTCCTCTAAATCTCATCCAGACTTGTTTACAACTAAAGCTGCTTTTTTTTTTAATCTACTCACTCCAGTCTACCATGTTACCAAAGTGAGAACATTCAAGTTTGCTGCACTGCGTTGAAAAGGGCAAAACTAACATCTGATAAAGTTCTCACTCTACCAACAGCATCGTGAATGTTTTTCAACACAAAAGCTATCATTTCTTCGGCTGCTTTACCAACAGATGCACAATTAACATACTAATCACTTTTCGTCTACAACATTTGTAGCTTGGTGGTCACATTTATCCCAACTTCCAATATATGTCAACTATTACCGTAATTAGTATGGGCTTGCTGGTGGTTTTGCTGCCCTGTGATATCCTTTGCTGAGAGGAGACTGACAAATGTCTTACAGCCTTGGACCACACTCTGAGGCTTGGTGTCAATGGTCCTAAAATTTATCACAAAATTCATGTCATTTTTAAGCATTTTCATCAATGGTAATATGAGAAAAAGTCGATATATTAAATTTACATATTCTCTTAGCAAATTATCAGGCCTGCAGCAACTTTGCTGCAAACTGCAATTCCTCCTTGCAAATTTGTCACAAATTACCAAAAATTCAAAATTTTCATGCAAACTTGTTGCCACAAACTTTTCATTTTGCTTAGGGTTACTTTGTCCCAGTTTGAAATATTGGACATCAAATTGAATGAATGAATCCATGAACAAATGGAACAAACACAAAAAGTCTCATTTACTTATACCTTAAGTGATGTAAAAAAAGGTACAAATAAAAGAGAACAATCATTTTGCTTTCCCTGACATTAGTGTGTCATAAAAGAATGGGTACCTATTTAAGTTAAACAGCCAAACAACACAGGTAAAATATATATCTTTAAAAACATAAATGTCTTTAAAGCCAAAAAATACCTATTTCTAAATGTCACAGGTAACACACACACACACACACAGCAATCACCATGCATTGTGTGTGTGTGTGTGTGTGTGTGTGTGAGTGTGTGTGTGTGTGTGCGTGTGTGTGTATACAGCAATCCTACCTGAAGTCCATGTACTGCACCAGGCACATGTACGTGGGGAAGGTTGGTATGGACTCGATGTAGAAAGGAGCCAACAGGTGGCGTGCTGTCTTCCTGTTGCAGCAGACAGCCAGGTTGTACTTCTCCAAACATTCCGGAGACGCCAGGAATGCTGGGCTCAAGAATGTCACCACTCTACACAGAGACATAAAAGATCAAGATAAAAAAATTCATTTTTGAAGAAACTAAACATGCTTTTACCAGTGGTTGGACATTCTAGCCCTAAATTTTTCACACAAGAGACAATGAAAGTTTATTTTACTGAAGTCAGACATTGGCCAGGATTTCTTCTACAAATCATGACAACACATACCTGTGCCGTGCAGAGACAAATCTGAGTAGATATAAAAATCACATAGTTCTTCCAGTTACTTTGAAATTTTTGAAACTGTACATGAACTAAATCAGATTTCCAAATTATTATGTACATTATAAACATACAACATGAACTTCAAGATAAATTACTGAGCAGTGAAATGTTTTCTCCAAGATGTTTACAAAATTATTACTTCAAAATAGATGTCAAATTCTAAGAAACAAGCCACATATATTGAAACTTTCATAAAAACTGATCAAAGTATGATTTCAGTGTTAGCATCCACAAGATAAAGACAAAAAGGTCCAACCCCAAAACTTACCACTTTCCATTCAATTTACCTTACGCATGTTATCATGACCTCGTAGATCTCCTGCTGCCAAACCTGGTCCTCACGGAGCGCCTGCACCTGAGAAAATATACGGATATCTTTCTTTTCCTCCTTCAGCACTCCCTCTATCTGCTTGACTTTGTCTTCGTCTTCTATGGAATAGGACAGGTAGATGTCATACCTGATCTGGGGCTCCTTGGAATAGAAACAAAAAATATTATAAAGCTCTTGATGTTCTAGGAATAGGGGGAAACTATTCAGATAAAAGTAAGGTAATAACTTGCTCTTTTCTATAGGGTAAACATGGCATTTTACCAATTGATACTGTATATTTTTTAATCATAAATTCTTAAGATAAGAACATTCCTATTGAGTGGTAGCAACAGAACTGAAAAGCAGCTAAGCAGATTAGACCTCAAGCTTTTTAGTGGGTTGCCAAATTTGACCCTCGGACTGTTAGTCCACTGTTCTGAATGTGGCCTGAGACTTTTATTTGCACTGGTACATATAAGTCAATCAGTAATAATGAGAAAAGCCCCCTGCGGTCCAGGAAACCCGTCCTATTACCTCTGGCATCATCGTAACCGTTTCATACTTCTTCTTCAAGCTCTCAAATACGTTCCACAGTTCATGTTTCTCTAGGTTGATCTCGTCAGGACGATGGGCAAATACCACCAACTTCAGGCAGGACATGGGTAGTCCCGCCTTTATCCAGTTGACAGCCGCATCTAGCATGGCTTTCAACATCATTTTGGGATCAAAGCTCTGAAATGAGTGTCATTGAGGAAAGATGAATATGTTCACATATACTTTTATACACATATTAAAACATAATTCAGTAAATATAAGGAGAGAAGCATAACAGTTGAATCTGCAGAATTAAAAACACAATTGAAGGTTATTGAAGGAAGGAATGACAACAGGATGAAGGAATGACAACAGGATGAGAGAGACAGTTGCAGATCCAGGACTTTGCTTGGGAGAGGGAGTTGGGATCTTATATTTATTTTCTTTAAATTCTTTAAATTTTTTTAAATCTCATGAGGTCACCATCTTCAGGTGCCATTCTGTTTGTATGACCGCATTCAGAACAGTGGGCTTACTACTCCGGGGGTCAAATATGGCCGACCCACTTGAATACTTCCTGACGGGTAATCTCTTCATGGTCCTTTAGCAGCTTAGACAGCAAGTTTTTTAGTGGGTTGCCATATTTGACCCGCGTACTAGTTAGTCCATCGTGGGGGGTTACCTGGACTCCAGATGCTAGTAGTGGAGCTATCACAGTGCTTTCCTTGTTGTTAAACACAGCCACCAGACATCTAAAGACGTCCCCCACCAACGCCGCCGGGTGACCTGTACTTTTCATGGTACGCTCAAAACACAGTAACCTCCTGAAATGTATACATCAATAAATAAATGGTCACTATAAAAGGAAAATGTCCATGCCACATTACGACAGGAATAAGACATGGATCTAAATTTTTATTATATAAATAAATAAATATACACATATCATTAAAAATAATTATATTAAAAATGAAGACTTTTCCAATGCAGAGTTAGCCACTCTACACACATCAAACAAATATTATATTCTTCATATTTTTATAGCAATTCTTATCATTTTCAATTCTGTATCCCTCCCAGTTTTAAACATAAAAATTATTGAAATCTACAGTCACCCAGGTTGGAGCCACAGAAGTGCAGTATTCACTGGCACTCACCAATCTAACCTCCACCTATTGTATCATTCTTTCATGATTTCTTGAGAATATCTTGGAAAGAAAGAAAGACCAATGAAGAAATGTTACAACAAGGAATACAATGCTCACTAATGAAAACAATCAGAAAAAGATAAATGAAATCTCTGGGTCATACCATCAGAAAAGACGGTGTAAATGCACCAGATGTGCGCAGAGTGGTTATGCGCAGTATTATATGAACAAGGCTATGAACGATTCAACTGCATGGGTGGACACATGTTATAACTACATGTATAAGCAGGGGCGTAAAAAGTAAGCATTAATCTATTACCTATTTTGCAATAACAGACGGAATAGAAAAACTGGTACTCTGTGGGAAAATTAAAGGAAAAAGTACAGGAAGCCAAAGAACAGTCTAAATGCCTTTACAACAAATCAACAACTGTACAATAACGAGGTCATGCAATCTATTGAAAATAAAGTTCTAGTAAACTGGAGGATCATGATCGTCTATGCCTGCACAAGGTCTGACACTTGATGATGATGATGATGATGATGATTGAGACCCAAACAAAACCTTCTCAAAAAGACATTCTCTTTGTATTATCTAATAATCTAAATGTTCATTCCCACAATGTGTCCAGGCAAGTACCTGTATGGCAGGTGTGATGGAAGCAACTTTGACCACCAACAGTGGAAATTAGCTCGCAGATCTTCCTCTTTATCTCTGGCCAGGTGTTTGACGCTGATATCCAGGTTGCGTTTGAGAGCTCCTATCAGTGATCTTTGGCATGGGATATAATCACCTGGAATATATAGCAATGATATTGTCACATACAATACAGTACACTATAGTATAGTATACTTCAAGTCCTTGGGAATTGTGATGTGACATAACTAGATGAAATAAGGAGCCAGACCTTTGAACTGGCTGGGGTAGCGGCAGTGCTAACACTCGGCAATTTAGCCAAATGCTAAAACCAACTTAAATTGGCTTAACAAAATGGGCTTGATTTGACTTATTTTAGACGAATTAAAAACCATTTGGATAACAAACTGACAAAAAAGTGGTCATTTGGCTAAGGGGCACAAATTGCTAGCGCTACCCCAGGCTGGTATTTTTGGATTACCCTCTAAATCAACATGTTTTGTTCAGCAGATTTGGTCAAGCAAGCATCGTCTACATATATCAATGTTAGTTCTCTAATATCCAACAACAGTATGAATTTATAACACTTCAGCATAATTTACAGTAGTTAAAGTATCACTTTATGTAACTTTTAAACTTACTTCTACTTGCAGAAATTGTAATTTTATCAACAGATCACGGTGATGTTCATTTTAGACTTGATATGAATATGACAAGAACATATTATCTTAATTTATCTCACATATACTGTACATGACGTCATGTATATTATATAATTTTAATGGTAAACTATGGATGATGGGGCAGAAGTTATCGGGCGTTTATTTTTTAACGAAATTCGTTCAAAAATACCAACTTGATTTTGATTAGATCTTTTTGCACGACAGCATAATAATGTGGGTATGTTTCATAATTCGTTTCATGGCAAATTAATTGATCGATCAAGGAAACATTTAAAGACTTGTTTTCTATTCAAAGATTCTCGTCGATTCTTCTTACCTGGAAACGCTGACACCATTATAACGTCTACTTTCTCTTGTACCGAAAGTTTGGTAATATCTCCAAACAGCAGCTGTATCTCGCGATCTCCATCTGCAGTTTTCACAATAATAGAGCTGGCATGCCTCAAACTGCTTTCAGTGTCTGGGTCGTCCGCCATCTTGGCAAATAACTGAAATATTCAGCGGCAACAAACCGACTTTTTCTGATACTAATGACTTTGATTTAAAGCCAATACTGGTCGGTTCATAGACTTGAAAGCCTGCTACGTGAGATCACACGTTTGACGTTTTTCGACACATCACATTTGTAGACTTTTCGTCAATGACAATGTCTTCTCCTCTACATTCTGCGCGGTCTCCATAAACAAAATAAACAAAATATGGGTCATGGCGCCAGTTCGAAAGCGAGGTTTTTGGCGCGAAAAATGAAATGATCTCGAGTTCCTCGAGCAAACAGCGTCGGAGCGCAAAACGTGAACTGTTGTCGAGAGCGTTTTTTCCTGAATGTTTTGGTTTGTGCCGCCGTGTGGAACTACTCTCATCATCATGATGATATTAAATGAACGGATTGCAAACTAGAGAAAATTAGAACTATACTAAGTATTTTGCTGCCAGTTTCATCAAGAATTTTCAGAGGCACGGTGATTTACTACAGGAAGCAGTGACCCAATGTAAGGTGCTATGATCATTTTACTTGATGAGAGTGTTTTTAAACAAAATGCATATATTTACATTTATTTTCCATATGTACGTGTAATCACAACGGTTCTTAATTTGCCTTAAGTTTTTCAGTTGTATTGTAAACTTTTGTTAAATATGATTATTAATAATTCTAATTCCAAATTATATCTGTCACTTTTGCCAAAAAGCCCTACCAATTTTTTTCCAGTAGTATCCTGTGCAGTATTTATATTGACAATCAGACATATTGACTTAGGCCGATGTACAGTCATGTAATGATTTTGTTATTATTTTAATTATTTTTATTTATTTATTTTATTATTGTAATTATTTTTTTTTTCTTATTAAACTTTATATTTAGACAAGTTTCTTTAAATCTGTCTTTCAGATGACACAAGTCCTGGGTCTCATATAATAGAGTGGCAAGCGGTAGCAACTGGTGTTTTTTTGGTCACAGTTATATAGATGAAAAAAGACAGGTATAAATAATAGAATCTGCTAGTATCCATATTATCTTTGCCCTCAAAGCATTAAACTGCATATACTCCTTGGCAAAATATCAGGCCTGTTGTAAATTTTCTATTTGACTATTTAAACTCCATTTTCCACGTAAAAAGTTGATTGAAAGATATGCCAATAGAAATGCTGCCCAAAACTACTCATTAACAACACAGATATATTAGAAGTCAGCTAGAGATGCAGAAAGTTTTTCTTTTTCACGGTGAACAGTTAGATTGGTCAAGATCTTCAAGCCCACTGCAGTGATCAAAGGATGACCCAAAGTGGTCTCTTTCTTCCCCCTCAGCAACTGACCTCCAGTGCTGTGGCAAACTGGTGTAGAATGTTGTTAATTGATGTCACAACACGGAGTTATTGGATGTCTTAAGACAAAAAATATGGAGTCGAAAAAAGGTAACTATAGATGTCATGTTGATCAGCAAGTTCAAAAACTGACACTGTAATATATTTACAAAATAAAAAGACGACATATTATATGTTTTTTAAAAGTTTCACAATTAGACTCCCCGCTTTTCTTGACTTCCTGAGAGGGAGTTCATGAATTATGCACAGTATTTGATGGAATTTATTCACAACAGTCAACTACAGTATATGTATCTGGGGTAGCGCTAACACTCGCCAATTTAGCCAAATGCTAAAACTGAGTGACTTTAGCTAAACAAAATAGGGTTAATTTGACTGATTTTAGTGAAATTTAAACCATTTGGACAAAAAAGCTATGAAAAAGTAGTAATTTGGCTAAATGAAAAAAATTGCTAGCGCCACCCCAGTGTATAATACTAGTATTATTATGTTTTACTCCACAGTTATTGTCACTTTACTTTGGAATAATATCAAAAGGAGAAGTCACAGAGAATTTTTTTTAAATTTATATATTTTTAACATTAAAAGAACTTTTTATATTTTGTTTATGGTGTAGATGACTAAACTGAAGATGAAAGCTGCACCTGAAGATGCCTGGGAAAAATATTGTTGCCACTGAAAAGAAAAATCAAATGCACGTGGAAAAAATAACCAATGGGTAGAAAGAATTGTTGATTAAGAAGATAAAATTTGATTGAGAGTGGTTGTATAGATGGCATTTGAAAATAGTCTGTTACATATATGACTTATTTAAAGCAGTTTAGTCTCTTGAGTATAAAGTAGAACCTTTTCGCAAACAAGATCAATATGGTCGTTAAAATTTAGTTTTGGATCAAGTACTACTCCCAGGTGTTTATGGCTTTTAGACCTAGGTATCATGGTAATGTTAATATACAATCCAGGGTATGTATTAGTATTATTTTCTTTGCCGAATATAATTTTGCGGCACTTTGCCAGTTTAAAATTCGGTTTCCATTTATTGGACCAATTTTCGATGGTACGTAGGTCACCTTGTAATATAGCGTGTGAATTGACATCACCTCGACGCAAGGGCATAAAGAGGGAAGTATCATCCGCATAGATGAAACAATCAGTAGAGTCCGTCAGGGAGGTCATTAATATATATGAGAAAAAGTAATGTGCCAAGTATGCTACCTTGGGGTACACTTGTATCTATGTAACCACCCTCAGATAAATTAGACGATTTCCCACCAAACGCACTTAAACTCTTCTATTTGTCAAGTACGATGACAATAGTGCATGAAGTTCGCCGATTAGACCGTAAGACTTTTATGTTTAAAAGTTTAAAAAGGAGTGAATGAGGAACTCTGTTGAATGCAGCCTCTATTTCGAGAAAGACTCCTCTGGTGTCATAACCATTAATAGAGTTACTCGTAATTACTCGTTGTGTTGGTTGAATGCTTTATTCAATGTCGATCCACCAGGAATAGAAAGTGCATTTTTTCATAAATGTGGGAATGGTTAAGCAATATTAATTATGGCTTGAGTGATTTTGTTGCATGGTGGGTTGCATCGCTGGATGTTTCTTTCTCAATTTTGGGGTTTGCCTCACATTGCTATATTGGAGTGTTAGTCTTTCCCCTCAGCCAACTCGGCAAAAGTGCTGGAATGCTGGGCATAGAAAGTTGTAAACTGTCACAGCATTTTTTTCCTTGGTCAACTTCCTATAGAAATAAATGATGGAAAAGACTGAAAATTGACTGTTTGCTTTCTTAGGGAACAAGTGATAAAACATAGTCCATTGTTAATTAACAAAATGGTGTGTCACAGTATGTTGGCAGTTGCAGTGACAAAGCAATTTCTATGGTAATATAGTAAAACATTGGAAGATTTGATGGTATCTAGGATTAGCTTATGATTATTAGTATTACAGTAACTGTATATTTGAGCTGTACTTCAATCTACCCTAGGTTCTAGATTCTAGTTTTCCCAGCTTCATATTTTCATCGTTTCATATTTATACATAACCCATATCAGCAAAACTGTTGAAGCCCGTGAACAGCTTTGAACAGTCAACAATTTAGCTTCACAGTGGCCCTGACGCTCAGGGCAATTCTGGTCTGTGTTCAATTTGTCAGCACTGAACTATTATGACTGTTCATAATTTTCTTCATGTCCTTAACCTTATATGCATAGCAGTTATAGGTGTAATGGCAAACAGCTAGTTCACCATTAAATTTTTACTCTTCAAACAGCTTTTATAATAACACATTTTTGTAATTGAAAATTAATTGATTATACTTTAACATGATTTTTTATGCATGTCTTTGAATTTCAAATAGCAAGAACTTGGGATGATCATATTTTTTTTTATTTTTTTCTCTCAAGCAATTTGAGCACATGAGTACTATCATATACTAGTACCCTGTTAAGAGCAGTTGTGTCTTAGGTTTTCCTTCCTCATATTGAACCCTCTTGTAAGACGTCCACGTATTAACAGAGTGACTGCATAAACGTGCAGCACTACGTATTGATGGGATGTCCTATCGCAACAGCTCTTTAGTTCTGGCATTCCTTCCAATATTGCTCAGCTTCCCCCTCGTACCCCACCCTAACCCACCCCACTCACTGCTGAATGTGACATGGTTACACATTTGTTTTGTGTTCTTCCATGCTTTTGTCTCCACAGGCCAATATGATTGGGACAGGCAGCTAAAATGTTGTTGCTGAAGTCTTTTTCAGTCTTTCCTGATGGATCTCTATATCTCACAGTTCTTGATGGCATTATCATAGGGACCTTATTCTTATCCACCAGTCAACTCATGCCTTGATAAAGGTTGTGTGTATTTGTCTGTTTGAATGCATTACATGATGATTTTAAGATTCCTCTTCTTTTTTTTTTACACTACACTGTTAGTGTAGATCATTGATTTTTTTGTGAACCTGCCCTCCAATAGTGCGGTTGCTGTACTAGTAGGTCACATTTCTGAGATCAACTCTGAAGGTCCCATTTCTCGCCTCAATCTCTTCTGGTTCAGAAGTGGAAGTCTGACGTTGTTGCACTTGATATCAAAATGGATGAGATGTTTGCTTCAATTTTCTAGAATTGTTGCATGTGTAAATAGATTGATGTAAAATTTTAAAAATAACCATAGAAAGCACACAGAGAGGGCAGATTTCAGCCATTGGATAAACTCTGTGGGAACTGAGTATTTTTTGGCTAAGACGGAGCATCTTCCTTTCCTATCTGCTTAGCAAAAAACTGGACAGCTTGCCTTTTGCTTAAAGGCACTGCTCCAGGGTAACTCCTTTTAATTCCTTATATATATATATATATTAAAATATATATGTGACAGAGAGAAATAAAGAACAGCAGTTATTTTACCCCGATCGTTTTCATCGCATCTTCAGGGGGTTTGTTTATTTNACCCATATCAGCAAAACTGTTGAAGCCCGTGAACAGCTTTGAACAGTCAACAATTTAGCTTCACAGTGGCCCTGACGCTCAGGGCAATTCTGGTCTGTGTTCAATTTGTCAGCACTGAACTATTATGACTGTTCATAATTTTCTTCATGTCCTTAACCTTATATGCATAGCAGTTATAGGTGTAATGGCAAACAGCTAGTTCACCATTAAATTTTTACTCTTCAAACAGCTTTTATAATAACACATTTTTGTAATTGAAAATTAATTGATTATACTTTAACATGATTTTTTATGCATGTCTTTGAATTTCAAATAGCAAGAACTTGGGATGATCATATTTTTTTTTATTTTTTTCTCTCAAGCAATTTGAGCACATGAGTACTATCATATACTAGTACCCTGTTAAGAGCAGTTGTGTCTTAGGTTTTCCTTCCTCATATTGAACCCTCTTGTAAGACGTCCACGTATTAACAGAGTGACTGCATAAACGTGCAGCACTACGTATTGATGGGATGTCCTATCGCAACAGCTCTTTAGTTCTGGCATTCCTTCCAATATTGCTCAGCTTCCCCCTCGTACCCCACCCTAACCCACCCCACTCACTGCTGAATGTGACATGGTTACACATTTGTTTTGTGTTCTTCCATGCTTTTGTCTCCACAGGCCAATATGATTGGGACAGGCAGCTAAAATGTTGTTGCTGAAGTCTTTTTCAGTCTTTCCTGATGGATCTCTATATCTCACAGTTCTTGATGGCATTATCATAGGGACCTTATTCTTATCCACCAGTCAACTCATGCCTTGATAAAGGTTGTGTGTATTTGTCTGTTTGAATGCATTACATGATGATTTTAAGATTCCTCTTCTTTTTTTTTTACACTACACTGTTAGTGTAGATCATTGATTTTTTTGTGAACCTGCCCTCCAATAGTGCGGTTGCTGTACTAGTAGGTCACATTTCTGAGATCAACTCTGAAGGTCCCATTTCTCGCCTCAATCTCTTCTGGTTCAGAAGTGGAAGTCTGACGTTGTTGCACTTGATATCAAAATGGATGAGATGTTTGCTTCAATTTTCTAGAATTGTTGCATGTGTAAATAGATTGATGTAAAATTTTAAAAATAACCATAGAAAGCACACAGAGAGGGCAGATTTCAGCCATTGGATAAACTCTGTGGGAACTGAGTATTTTTTGGCTAAGACGGAGCATCTTCCTTTCCTATCTGCTTAGCAAAAAACTGGACAGCTTGCCTTTTGCTTAAAGGCACTGCTCCAGGGTAACTCCTTTTAATTCCTTATATATATATATATATTAAAATATATATGTGACAGAGAGAAATAAAGAACAGCAGTTATTTTACCCCGATCGGTTTCATCGCATCTTCAGGGGGTTTGTTTATTTTGGTTGCTAAGTGATGTCATAAAGACTCAATGTGGTGTCGCTGACAATGGATATTTGATCGTTGCTTTTACCAAAGTTTTAGGATCTGCTATTACCTGTTTAATGTAGGTTAAAACTTAATTTATAATTATTAATGGAGAATTTTTCTTTAATTTCCCTTTCTAGCTGTTTGGGTCTAATATATATATATATATATATATATATATATATATATATATATATATATATATATATATATATATATATATATATATATGTGACAAAAGAATGTGGTTACATTACATAATAAAATAATGTGACTACATAAGCAACTTTTCAAAATTAGTACACATAGTCAATGTTATTCAATAAGTATTTCTTAGAGTGTCGGCGTTTGCTGACGAGTTCATTTTTAGAGTTCAGCGTTTTCTTTCCGAAGTAATGATGTAGAACTTTTCCCACAGGCAGAGCTGACACCGTTTGGTTATGTTTGAATATGGTCAAGCTTTCTTTAGTATTGACCATTTCAGCCCATAGTTGATTTTTTTGTCCTTAAGAGTCCAAATATAGCTGCTCAAAGAGGTGTGGTGACGTTTGGATGAGCAGTTGAAAGAGGTCTTATGGTTATTTTATCTATATTTAAATTCACATTCACATATACCAATGTATTCTTCTGTTTCGCTTTTGCTTATCACAGTTGCCTTATAAACTACTTTTTTTCTAGACATTTGCCATTCATTGGGCATTCGCTTTTTATCCTACAGTTACAAGTTATTACATCTGATACATTATCTACAACCCTAGAATTATTCATCAAACTGTTGTTCTTAGTTTTAATAATTTGGGCAATATTATCCATGCAGCTGTAGCTAACTTTATATATATATATATTTATATATATATATATATATATATATATATATATATATATATATATATATATATATATTTACACACAATTCAAATAAATAAATAAATAAACAACAGACATGTAATAACTCCGACTCCGAGTGTCACGGGCATACCCAGAAGGTATGCCCGATCGTCAGGTTTATTTGAAAATGGTTTTATTAGCCGTTTAACGTACACGGCGTGACGACACTTGGGTCGCACGCCGTATTAGTTATGTCACCTTATGCCGACACATGGTAATTATTTCAGTTCTTTTATTTAGAGTATTTGGTGTTATCATATTAACAGTTTTTCGTCCAGGCAAAAGTTGCATAGGTGCTGATTTCTCTATTGCGGCACTGATTTCTTTATGATGTCCCATCTAATGTCATACTGGGTGTTATTTTCTTTTAAGTTCCAAATGTATTTAGATAACTCAGTTTCTACAGCATATTTTTTGTATTGTGAGGGCCCATTTGCCAAACAGAGGCCCTTACATTTCACAAAGCATGTAATTGTTAGTTTTAATAAATTATCTTTCCATAAGACACTGCTCTTGCTGCAACCAAGTATTGCTTTCTCATCAACTCTCTGAAAACTTCCACCTGTTTGGCACTGCATTACAAATATCAGTTGTCTTATACTGATGTTAGGACATAAATTAAACCATAACTTGTTCTAGCATCTGCACATGCGAGATGATACTGCTGTGCAGAGATGTCAGTTCATCTTGGTCAAATGTCTTTTTCTGTCTGAGGTTTAAACAACTATGCCTAAGTCTTCTGGATTGCCATCTTGATGAATTGAATGGGTTAATCATATGATTTAAAAAAAAATGATGTAAAGATATATGGTATCATTATGAATAATAAATAGAAATTAATATCGGTAAGTACAGTGTAGTGATGGAAAGGGAAACAACTTCTTGAACTGACAGTAATGATCAGTTTGGGTATATTTCTTCTTTCAATGAATTTTTGTGTCTTCTATTGTACCCGTAGCTCTCTTTGTTGGACTATGCTGCGAGATATCTTTTTTTCATTTTCTCAATCCCAAACATTCAAATGTTTGTGGCAGTATGTGTTCCAGTACTCCCAAGACCTGGTCTGGCTCAGACCCTTCTCCACCTTTCTTTGAACAAGCACTCTTCTTCTCCAGAGACATATCATACGTCTCAATACCTTTCTTGTTTGAATTTCTATTCTCCCTGGTTTACGTAGGTATTTTAATATCAAGCTTAGGCTGTCATGTGCATAATCATATTTTATTTATTTACTTTTTTAAAATAATAATATATGGATTATTGATATTTCTTTACCTGCCATAGACTTCGTTCACGTCTTGGTGAAAATATCTCAATTTCTTCATGAAGGTCATT